CACCTTTGCCGCAACCTGCTCTTGATGCTTCTCATCAAAGCACTTCAACACAGTACCAAAGCTACCACGACCAAGTATCCCTTGTACTGTGTACCGTCCCCATATGACCTCACCTGTAAAGACAAGATAATGCCCATGTCGATCATCATAGCCGTCATTATACTTTGGACCGGGCTGCCGACACCGACGTTCCTCACTATATTTGCTGTTAATAAGTCTGTACAGTGGCATAATTTCCTGCGATAGCGCGACGGATGGACGAAAGAGTGCACAACGCGGATGCAGTCGAGCATTTTCCAAGGCCACTGTGGTCTTAGAATTTGTATTATTATTATTATTATTATTATTATTATTCTTATCAGCATTATTAATGTTGATGTTGGCATTATTCGCCGCCGCCGCCGCTACTACTACTGCTGCTGCTGCTGCTGCGGTGGTGGTTGTGGTGTTGGTTGTTGCGATCGATTGAGCTAACTGTTGCGGTGCCACGACATCACTCGCCGCGACGGCCGTCAAAGAGGCCAACGGCTGCGGGCCGCCGCTCTGACTGCTCGGCATCGTGCGCCTCTTCCCTCCTCGTGCGGGTGCCTTCAGCGCCAAAGACGGCGTAACAAAACGACGCCCAACCAGCCAGTCGCAGACGCACCGGAATTTTCTGCCGCAGAGGCGGAGCGGGAAAACAAACCCTCAAAAATGGAAAAAAAAACCTCCTCAAAAATCCCCCACGGCCGCTCACGCTGTGAGTAGACAAAAACAAACACACGCACGCAAAGAGAAAAGAAAATAATTCAAAAAAAAAAAAAAAAATACCCCCCGCCAAAGAAAAAAAAAAAAAAAGGAAATAATGGAATAAAATAAAGAAAAAAGAGGGGCCCACACACAAACTCTTTACAAAACAACAACAACAAGGAATCGGTACTTGCAGTAATGATGACTACACCACCACCACCACCACCGCCTATTTCGCCCCTCCCACACCTTTTTTTTTTTTTTTTTTGCTTCTCCCTCCTGCGTTCTCCAGACTCTCTCTCTCTCTCGCTCTCTTTCTCTTTCACACAAGAACAGACGGAGAGGGCAAAAGAAAAAAAAAACAAAACAAAACAAAAAACAAACAAACACAAAAATAAAGGGGGATTCTTCGCTTTTCTTTTCTTCTTTGGATAAAAAAAAAAGAAAGGTGCGTCGTGCAACAGAGCGAGAAGAGTAAAACAACAGAAAAAAAAAAAAAAGAAAAAAGACCGTGGCTGTAAGCGGGGAGAGAAGCTCCAAAAAAAGGGGGGCAGGAGTATAAAAATATCGTTAATGGATGTGCTCTTCACCCGGGAACACACACGCAGGCACGGCACAGACGGAAAACAAGGATGTGGCTAAAAAAAAAAAAAAAGGAGGGGAAGAAGTGGAGGGAGAAGGGTAAAAGTCCAAAGAATCGACCCACCAACACCAAACAAGCAGGAGATGTAAAGTAAATTAGACGGGAGGTTAACCGAGTTGTCGCTGTGATCCCGTGGGACTTATCGCTGCGGATGCAACAAGGCCTGTCACGGGTTTCCACCGCTGCCACTCTTTGATAATTTTCTCGCCTCGCTCCGCCCCAGGCCCTCCTCTCCTGTCTGCAGTATCTAATGTAGTGTTAAACGTAGCTCCTCCTCCTCCTCCTTGTTGTTGTTGTTGTTGTCCTCTTTTTTCCTGCCTCCGTGCTATTCTTCTCTACCCACGTCGTCAATCGCCTTAAATAAATAAATAAATATATATATATATATATATATATAAAGAATAAAACCACCCCCTTTCCTGCTTCTCTTAAAATCAATTTCCTTCTCTCTTTCTCTCCCTTTTTTGTAAGTATGTATATGTATGTATGTATGTTTCTTTCTTTCTTTTTTTTTTCTTTTTTTTTTTCAATTCTTTTTATTTCTAACTGTAGACGTATTCAACTATGCGTGCTTGTGTGTGTGTTTGTGTTATATGATGCAACGAAAGCAATATTTTTCTAATGGTGATGTTGAACGGGAAAAGTAAGTTTTCTTCCCCACCCGCTTTTCTTTCCTTCCTTCCTTCCTTCGTGTGTATAGAGGCGTATGTACGTATGTAATGTGGGTAGAAATGGCAGAGAAGAAAAACAAAAAAAAAACTAAAAAGGGGGAATGAGACTAATAATAATAATAAATATAAATAAATATATATATATGTGTTTGTGTCTGTACGAAAGGCCCCTTTTCAAATTTTCCTGTCGTTTTAAATTCTAAAAAAAAAAAGAAATAAATATAAATATAAATAAATATATATATTTACTGGTGTGAGAAGAAACAACAGTCCCTTCCCCACCACTCTAAATTCCTTTTTACTTTATAAATGGAGAGGGGGGAAAAAGGAGAAGAAAAGAAGAAGAAAAAGACATCATGCCATCTATCCCTCAAGCCCGTGGAATTAATACCGCCTCACAGCATTGCCACACCACATGTTTGTGTACATATTCGCCATTCACTCTGGCAATGTGCTTCTTCAAGAGAGGAGAGGCATCGTTGCAGCAAATGCACCCCATGTACACACACACACATGAACGCATCTATAAAACAACCACGTGCAGAGAAAGTGAGAGAAAGAAAAACCCGCCTCCCTTTTCTTTTTTTTCTTTTCGTCCTTTCGTGTGGGAGGAAACAAAGAGACACACACACACACACACACACACACACACACAAAACAACAACAACAACAACAACAAAAACAGAAACGAAGAAAAAAAAAAAAAAAAGGACATCCCACGGGAATGCTTTAAAATATTGACTCCCAAACAAATTCACATCTCACCACAACCACCACCACTGCGACCACCCTCATCATCATTATCATTTAACATTCCATACCATCTAACATTTTCCAAATGGAGAAGAAACATCAGCGGGCGGGTGGATGTGTGGACGAACAGCCAAACAGTCAGCCGTCAAGAAATTATTACTTCAATCTCCATTTTCACCTTTTACTTCTCGCAGGGCCCGCATCCGCATTTCGGCCTGTTGTTGTTCAATGGTGCGCGTTGTGTTCGTCACACGCTGCATCGTTTGTGCCGCAGAGAGACGTGCGAGACGCCGTGCAATGGCGTCTCCCCCCGACACACGCACCTCCTGCCCGTCAACGAGATCCTGCAGCAGCGCCGTCTCTGCCCTGCTCGAAGACGCAGCAGTCGACGTACTCGGCGTGGACGATGCATTCAATTTGTTCGTCATCGTCGTTGCCCGCACCCGATAGACGGCGGCCGCCCCCTTCTCCTGCATCACCTTTGCCCCATCGTCCTGTTCACGCCCATCGTCATCCTCCTCTGCCTCCAACAGGGGCGATATTTCCTGCGTCGCAAGGATGTGTTTCTTCCCCACCGGCACACGGCTGTCGTACTCCGCACCCAAATAAAACGTCTCCGTGAGACTCTCCTGCTGGTGAAAGAAACGCTGCAGTGCCGGATTGTGCAGCACCTTCTCCGTCACATACGTCTTGGCGAGCTGCCGGCGAAGAATTGCCTCCTCGACGGTGCCGCTTGCGATAAGGCGATACACACCGACATCACGTGTTTGACCAATGCGCCATGCCCGCTCCCGTGCCTGCTCGTCTGTCACAGGGTTCCAGTCGGGGTCAAACAACACAACACGGTTGGCGCCGACTAAATTGACCCCAACTCCGCCAACACGGGTAGTGAGTAACGCAGCAACAATGCTGTCGTCCTCATTAAAACGATCCATGAGTTCCTGTCGGTGATGGCCACTTGTGCTGCCATCCATGCGGATGTATTTAAACCCCTCTTGTTCACACATGTTCTCAATGATATCCAGCGCCATGCGGGTCTGGGAAAAAACCAACACCCTTTGACCACCACGTTGCCACACCGTCAATAATTTTTGTAGCGTCTGCAGCTTCCCGCTCCCCGAGTAGTTGACTAAACGATTGCTGCGTAGCGACATGTGAGACCCACGTCGTCGCTTTTTTTTCCCATCCACCCCGTCTGTTTCATCCTCCTCCTCGTCGTCGTCAAAGTACTCCGCGCCATTTTCCTTCGCGGCTCGCCGCAATCGAAAAATGTCCACATGATTACAAATCTGGCGCAGTTCGTTCAGCACGCGGAAGGCCTCGAGACGAATGCCACCATGATATTGGCGCTGAAACAACTGAAACCGTATCCCAGCAATGTGTAGACAACCATTTGCATCACGGCCATCGCAGTTCAACCCACCCATCAGCTGTGGACTCGTCAGTGTGCTGCTAAGAAGCCGCTGCACTCTCGATGATGTTAATAACTCCACATATGCCTCCAACTGATCGTCACTTAATGGGCAGCGTATGACACGCTCGTACTTCTGCGGCAATGCGTCACTCATGACCTGTCGCTTCAACCGACGTAGCAGGTAGGGTGCGATGCGCTCCCGCAAAGCCTGAGCACATTCCACAGCTGTGGCCAACGCAAGAGGGGATGCTCGAACGTCTTTACTTGCATTAATCGGTTCCTCAAACTCCTCCACAAATTTTGTCATGGTCCCAAGCAGCCCAGGCCTGACAAAATCAAACAGACACCAAAGCTCCTTCAATGTGTTTTGGATCGGAGTCCCTGAGAGAATAAGACGATGCGGTGTTGGAAAGGACTTTGCTGCAAGTGTCACAGTGGCCTCCGGGTTACTAATTTTATGCCCCTCATCAAGAATAACATACTGAAACCGTGCCGTATGTAGGAGATGGCAGTGTTGCCGCACAGCCGCGTATGTTGTAAGGAGGACTGCCGGAGTTGACCGAATGGATTGAATGAGTTTCTCACGACTCATATTTGTGGCACTGCTTTCATGCATGACACACGTCCGTATGTATGGAGCCCATCGGTGCATTTCCGCCACCCACTGCCGCAAAACTGTCAAGGGCGATACAATCAAGCAAGGGTCGCGCAATTGCTGTGAATGATGCAGGGCATTTAGCATAGATGCCACTTGTATCGTCTTGCCAAGTCCCATTTCATCACCAAGAATACCACCCATCCGTTGTGTATGCAGCCGCAGCAGCCATTTAATGCCATCCCTTTGATGCTCCAGTAGGCGGTTATAAATATTGGCTAAGAGAGAGATACCGGGGAATATCGACACAGACGTTTCATGTTCTCTCCGGTTCACAGAATGGACAGTACTGTTATTATCACAGCCACCGCCAGAATTCATGAGCAGTTGCCGCATGACATTCTTATCATCATCATCATCATCATCCACCTTCTCCATCAGCGCATCAACGTCAATCGCCTCCTTTAGAGTGTTGCCGCTTTCTCCCTTTTCGTCGTTTTCCTGCTTTACTTTCATTGATCCCGTGCTACCAGCAGCTTCCAACTTCACAGTGCCGGAGTGCGATAAGGCTAAATGTGAAGCTGCCATGGTTGCAGCAACTTCCTCCAACCGCCGGCGTTTTTGCTGTCGCGCGTGGAACACGTCAAGATCGCCATCATCGGCGTATTTTATGGACTTTGAGCGCAAATCCGAGCGCGTCAGCGTGACGCGGTAAAGCGAGGGCAGAATGGCACCACCCGCATACTCGGAGGCCGTCATTGCCACCGACGGATGACTGCCACTACCATTGCACCGCTGCGGTTGCGTTGCAGTGCGAGAATGCGCCGCCTTCGCTGCATCATTCGAAACGACACGGGCTTTTAGCGGAATCTTCGGTTCACGCCGTGTGTCATCCGCAGCTTTTGGCGGCGATGCAGCAGATATGAGAGACGACAAGGAAGAAGCCACCTGAAGACCAGAAACATTCATCGCGGCAGTTATACTCGTCGTATCCATCACGCCATGCAAACCAGCTGAAGCCACGGCAGTGTTGCCTGAAACATTGCTCTTCCTTCGCTCCGCCGCTACCTCCTCCTCCTCCTTTCCCGCCAGCTGTCTTTGCTTTTTTGCCTCCTCAAGACGTTTTCGCTGCCTGCCCTCCATTTCAACTTGCCAGCGGCGCAGCAGCTTTGCACGGTTTTCTACCTCCCGCTGCGCCTTCGCCAGACGAAACTGGAGAACCGCCGCGGTATTTTCCTCTTCCCTCTTCCCCTCCTTGTCACTTTTCCCTCCCAACACCTCCGCCACCCCCCTCGACGACGCAGAACCCTTTTGGGACTGCGCAGCCAACGAGTGCAACTCCGCAACCACGTGCTCCATCTCCCCCAGGGCTTCCCAACGACGGCGCAGCTCCGCCTCATCCATCGCGGCCTCCGCAACAACTTGGGCGTCCACCTCCGCCACGACTTCATCACGCAGTGCCGATTCCTCCACCCAACTCACCCCCAACTGCGAAAGATCATCGGCCATGCTTTCAATCGCTGTCGTAAAGCACTATATAAAGGGGGAAAAAAAAGAAGAAACAACAACAAAAACAAGAAAAAAAACATCTCCCAAAAGTCCTTTCATCCAACCATAAAAAAACAAAGGAAATTTACACACAGAAAAACTGGCCTCCCCCCAAAAACACACACACACACAAAAAAAAAAAAAGACGCATACCCACACACAAAAATCCTCACACCACCAAATTTAAGTTGCATTTCCCCTCTTTGCTTGACCCTTCGCTAATCCTTGAAGTGCCAATAGCAATTGAATAAAACTTCCTAATAAAAAAGCACAACAATTAACCTAAACGAAAAAAAAAAAAGAAAATTTTCAGAAAGCACCCAAAATAATAAAAAAAATTGCGTCCTTGTAATGGCACTGGCTCATGGCACCAGAGCTACTTGGCGACGGGGTTGGCTTCAAAGTTAAGCTTGTAGCCATTCGGTTCACCCTCGACAAACAACACTGTTGCAAGGGGAGGAATCTGAGCCTCGCACTTGAACTCGCCGGTTGCTTCGTCCTTCTCCATCTTTGTCGAGCCCAGGGGTTCCACCTTGCTGTCCTTGCCAAACGCTGCTTTCACAGTCATGTTGTATTCCTTCGTGTCATTGTAAAAGGCCCACTGCTTCTTTTCTTCGTTAACAATACGGAAAAGAAGACCGTTGCCATTGTCCTTGAAGCACTTGACCACGGTAGGGCCTTCAAATGTGGGCTGCCCGTTTTCGTACTTGATGTCTGTCATGGTCTTTGGCGTAAATCCTTATTTTTTATTTTGTTTTTCGTTGCAGATATATATCTATATTTGTTTGCAGCACGCTTTTTGCTTGCCTTGATATCTGTGACGGGGTTGTCCAAGAGAGGGCGGCAAAAAAGAGCAAGGGGCAGAAGAGAGAGAGAGAGAAGGGGCCCAGATAGATAAAACCCTGTGCGCGGCTCATTTTATGTTTTTGCATTTTTTTTTTTTTAAGTGATAGAGTCTTTGGGATGATTTTTAAAATGTTTGCATTTCTTTCCTGTAAGTTGTGGGAAAGCCCCCTACTCGCTGTCAACCACCCGCATTGTTCCGAATTTCCTCTGGAAGGGTTTTTATCGCTTCCATGTCCTCTTCTTCAACTTGTTGCCGCAGGACGGGGTCATCGGGTGCTGGAGCACCGTATTCCGCCTCGCTGAGCTCCACCGTTGGGGGCATTTGAATGAGTGTTATCATCGTGCTGCGGGTGTCGAGACGCAAGGCGTCTTTGAACACCACTGTGAAGTACTGCGGGTATGGCCGCAAGAGTTCCAGTATGTCCTTGTACTGCTGACGGATAACCTCCTTTGCGCCGTGAGGAAGACGGCCGTACAAGTCCACGGCAGTGCGAGGCTGTTGTTGAAGCTCCGCCGCACACAAGTAGAGGAGTTCCGGTTCCGTGTAGTGTTGCCGCAGGACACCGGGTGGTAGCGGCACACCTGGACGGATCAGATGCAGGCGATGGCGGTAACGGTACTCAAAAACACGTATTTTATCCGGCGCCTGCTGAAAGATGGAGAGCGGCTTGCTTGGAAGGAAGTCCGACAGGGACGGCGGAAGTGATTTCAGAAGAAAATTCAACGAGATGGAACGTTTTTGTGGGACGTAGCGGAGAATGGCATCCAGCAGTACATCTCGATCGGCGTATGGGTTGTCCGGGTCCTTCTCCATGGCGATTCGACGGCGTAGTTTCTGGGCGGTGCGCCGGTTGCGGTGTACGAGTGCCTCCTCCAGTTTCTCCTCGAGCGTATGCGCCGTTTTCTCCGCGGTGCCCCGTGGCGACGCCACCCCGACGATTGTGTCGTTCACAATGCAGAACACGTCGCCGTGGGCCCGGAAGAAGTCCAGGAGGGTGCCGTAGTACATGATGATCTGCGCCTTGGCGTGGTCGGAGATGCGGTGGGCGGATTGAGCCAAGAGATCTGCGACGCACACACGTTGGCCGTCCAGTACTCCGACCAACTCAGAGACAACCGCCGGTGTAGGGCTGTCATGATACGACAAACACGTCACGGGGGCAACCCAACACAATTCCCCCTCCCCTTCAGGTGTAAAGCCAAACACGTGCTGCATCTGCGAGAAATAAAGAAGGGTCTTGTAATTTTCCCACGGCAACAACGCACGGACAAGCGAGTCGGGGGCTCCCGTGATAAGTTGGCGCAGCGAAATCCAGCGCGATGATGGCGGAAACAGCCGGCGAAACGACTCACAAAGAAATGGGTCGGGTTGATATTCCCGCCATCGCTCGTGCGCCACTTCCCCTGCAGCGTCCCGTCTGAAATCCACCAAACGCCTTCCTCCATGCAGTCGCACAAATTTTTCACCCTCCAGCGTCACAATCTCCAGTGTACCGGTGGCGGCAAATATTTGCTCAATATGAGCAGCTGTGTAGCCCTCTGGCAGCTCCGCGAGTAGTTTCTCCATGGGAATAAAGAATGTTGGAACATACGGCACGAGCATCTGGGGTGTGAACATGCCCACTGGCACGCAACCCTTCCTCTTCTTCTTGCTTCCCGACAGGTGTGGCTCTGACGGCGGTGGCGGAGGCGTGAAGCTCGGAAACACCGGCCTAAACACCTCCAGAAGAGACTCCGTTTCAGAGGAGGATAAGTTCAGCCTTGATGCACAAGCAGTAGAGAATGCCTCTTCCGATTCCTCGGCACTACAGGCCTTCACGGCATAGACCCCATCATTTGAAACATACACTCCCCAGTGGCTCACCCCGTTGGTGGCATGCAGCTGCCTCAGTCCATTTGCAAGCGTGCCAAATTGGGTTCGTAACCAACGATGTGTATCCTGGCAGGTGTCCTGCGATTTTAGTTTCTTCTTGTCTATAACTTCATCCAGTTTGAATGGCATGTTACTGTACAGTGTGGATACCGTTGTCACACACGGGGCGGTGGCAATTCCAGGTGAAACCAATGTAAACAGTATTTCCAACGGCGTCAGTTGTGAACTCATCTCTCTGTTTACGTCATCGGAAGTGCAGGGAGCAGCTATACTACTACAATTACTTCTGCTGCTGACTGCCCGTATGGCGGCACGCAAGACGACAAGATGTGAGGAGAAAAGAAAATCCCCTCGCCTTGATGCAGAACATCCAAATAGACGCAGTCGCTTTCCTAATTGCCCCGTGTAACAACGCTGAAGGATAACATGAGACATGCACGACGGGAACTGTGACGCTCTCTGCCGTCCGTGCCTCTTGTAACGGAGGTAATTGAAATACAATACACTTTAAATTTTGGATGGATTCCCTCACGTGAAGGAGAACCCACCCGCCTACACAGAAACACACACGCAGACACAGACAAAAAAAAAAGAAAAAAAAGGGAGAGATTCGCAGGCCTTCCAATCAAAGTGAACCTCCACCCAAACCCCAAGTTGAACAAGAGGCACAAAGTGAACAAAAACCATTGGAGAAAACAGGAAAAGATAAGAAAACTTGACCAAACAATCAACAAAAACAAAAAGGAAAAAAGCTCTTTTTTCATCCCCCCTCCCCTCCCTCAATACATCTCCATGGCAGCTGCCTCACTCGCCAGTTTTTTTAATGACGCCTCCAACACTCCGCATCTTCCGGAGAAGCGACGGAGGACAAGATTCTGTGTATAGAGCACACGTGCCTCACATAATAGCTGCTGCACCTCCGCATCATCGTCACACAAAGCCCGGTGATCTTCCCACAAGTGCTTTTCTAGTTCATGCTCCACTCCCAAGTGAAGACGCGGCACGGATGGCGGCAAAGACAGTAAAAGAGCCTCTGAAAAATTACTGAGTGCCCGATTTGCCGCCGCACTACTGCCGGTGGATTTCCCACCAACGTCACCTTCGGGTGGCGGTAAAAACCAGCCTGCCTGCACGCACAGCCTGAGTCTTTCACATTGCAAAGGGATGCGAGAGACCTCCTCCTGAATGCCCTGGTAGCTGTCCTCCCCCATGGCATCTGCCAATTGTTGCTGCTTTTTCTTCTTACGCTTCTTGCACAACCCTTTTCGTCCGAGATTTCCCCCCTTTTTCTCTGCACTTTCATCGACTTCTGCAGCACAAGTTTTCTCATCTTCTTGAACAGCGGTCGTGGTATCCCTCGTCAACACTCGTAGCTTGTCAAATAACACCGTTGCTTGACTTGACACACGCCGTTCTGCCATTAACGCCCTAAAGTAAGGCACATTCATCTCCGCTTCACGCATGAGGATCTCACGCAGTCGCCTTCGCCGCGATTGTTCCAACAGACCATCATACCAGAAGGGCGATGCAGGAGGCGGTAAAAAACTGGGTACAAAAAGTGACACGTCGCTTTCAACTTCATTTCGCTTGCACGCAGCCTGAGTGAGTTGCTCTTGCGATGGTAGTGGCAAATCTAGAAATCTTTTCAGAAAATCTGCCCTATGCCTGGAAAGCATATCCGTTTCATCCACTTCATCTTCTTCTTTTTCTTTTTCTTCATCGGGGGCAGTCTCCGTGCCATTGCTTTGACGGAGTTCCCTGTACCTTTGCGTGAGCCACTCCTGCCGCGTCCGCTGTGCCACCAGGACAGGGTGCTTCTCCATTAGTGAAGTCAGCGGATGGGCTGACGGCAGAGCGCGCTCTTCCGCTGGCTTCACTCGCAAGCCACTCGTTGAGGGTTTTGACTTGCAAGAGGAGGACGGGCCTGCGGTGGCCTCATCCCTGCCATCCTCGTCCTTCAGCACCTCCTGCAGGAGACGAAGCCGGTAGCGCAAAACCGCCTCTGAGACAAGTTTATATCTTTCCATCAACACTTCGACAGGCGGCGTGGGAACATTTGTTTCCAGCGACGTCGTCCCCACTCCCTCGGACGATTGGAATGCCCCGTTTTCACGGGAATTGCTGTACCGCCATCGGTCGGCGACCACGACAAAATTACCAAACCGCTCGTAGAGTTCCAGCAATTTACACGTGGACGCATAATCAAAACGCCATTTCACAGTGTCGGGATCGCTGCCTTCATCTGGGAGTACGGCCGGCTGATACATGTCATTGCCCAGCCCCAATGTCGCGTACTCCTCCGGGGACACGGTAAGGAATGCGAAGGGAGAGGGTCCAGTGGAAGAGTGAAGGACAGAGAGTCCCACCTCTGGGGGAACAGAGAGGAGATGCGTCAACCACGCACCAGGAAGATTCCCTTGCCCACACGTCCAATCACCGCCACTATCGCCACCATCCTTTTCACCTTCACCTTCTCCCCCTTCTTCCTTTTCTGTCAGCATGGCAGACATGAGTGCATTCTCGACTAGCAGCGCATCAGCCCGTGCCCAGCGATAACCGGAGGTGCTAATACAACGCAACTCCAGTGACGGAGCATCAGGACCGTCGGTTCTTTGAGACGCCGAGCCTATGGTGACATGACGCTGCTGCACAAGTGACCAGCGATGCATGGGTGGTACCAGCGAACCATGGGCCACGTTTTCACCATTCATTGTCTCCACTGTCCCTCCTCCTGTGGCCGTGGGTGAAATGACCCCAAACATATCAGGCAAAGTCGGTAGTTTGTGTGTTCCTACCCCGCCCACTCCACTGTCACCGGCCTCCATTGAAGTTTCCAAGGAGCGTTGTCCTACCGCGAGAGCCTGTTCGAGATGGTGAATTTCCTCCTCGCTGCTAAAAAAGCGATGGTCTTGCATGAGTTTTGCCGCCTCGCCTTTTAACCCACGCAGACGTTTTCCATTGCGGTCGTACAGATAAGACGCCCGCCCTCTCTTCTGGCGTGTTACCGAGGCGGTAGAAGTTGTGGTTTTGGGTCCAGACGCCAGAGGCTGCAGGATGGAAGACGCCAATCTCTGATTTTCCATGAGAGTTCCACCCGTTTTTTTTTTTCGTTTATTTCCTCAAGCCGCCACCACCGTCACCACCCCTTTCAGGAAAAATCTTTGCCGCGTTGTTTGCATACATGTAATGGAAATGTGAACACAATCAAGTGAAGGAAATAAAAGAGATAAATAAATCATACATGCCATTTATACAGCGCACATGCCTGCAAGTACTTAAAAGTTATGCATGTAAGACACAATGAAACACTCAAGCGGAGCAACACACACACACACACACACCAAAAAAAAAAACAAAACACATTTTGTTCCTTTTTTTCTTCCAGTACCGCCACCCTGGACTAATTAAGCGTAACGCATGACCTTCTTCGGGGGTTCGCCACCCAGAGTAGCCACGCTGGTCTGCGAGCTCGCACGGGAGGCACAGGAGAGGGTTGGGCGCTTTAGCATGCTACTGGCCGCCTTGTGCAAGAGCTGCGAAACCAAAACTCGTGAACTTGTGTCCATCAGCAACAGCTCCGGTGACCGCGCCGAAGAGGGTGGTCGGCGCACCTCCTCCGTCTTATCATCCACCCTGTTCTCGTCGCTGATCGACATGAATTCCTCCGGTACAGACGCAAACGACAGTTCCTGAGCCTTTCGCTGAGCAACAAATTGCTGCAGCATGGCATCTTCCTCACTCAACGCTGGCGGAGCAGTCTCTGGCGTTGTCGTGTCATCTGAAGGTGCTTCCGTCGCATTTTTCTTCGCATCACCCCCACCAGCAGCAGTGACTGTTTCCCCATCTTGCTCAATCTGATACATGCGTGCCAGCTGTGCACGCACCTGGTCATCAACAATCCATAATCCGCCGGACTCCAACAAATTTCCTTTACGATCAAGACGCTTTTCATTGGCAATACCACGCAGTCGGTCAAGCTTGTTCCGCTCATAATTCTTTAATGTAATCTGCGCAATCTTTTTCATGTACGCACTCCTATGCTCGTCGCTCACATAGGCGTAGAAGCTCTCCGCGTCGCGTTTACTTTCTTCCCATCGTTGCAATACCTCCCGTGAAAGAAGCGATGATGGTTCCACTGGAGTGGCAGGAAGCGGCGAGGCGGTAAGATCGGCAAGCGACGCGCCACTGCCCCGGAGACTTTGCGACCGGATGGGGCTTTGGGATGTTGCCGGGGAATTGGCATGGCCATGGAGACTCAATTGCGTCGAACTTCGCCGCTCCATTGCGGTGGCGGTGTGTCCTGTCATATGTCGACTGGATGCAATGCCAAGCTCCGTCTCCAGTCGCATATTATGCAGTGACGTCACGGTAAGCCGAATTGGTGCGCTGCAGGCGCCAACACGGCCCAGACGCTCATTCTGCTCCCGCATCGCCTCCACCTCATCCGGTGTCCAGTGATGGTTGACAATTTGATTTTGTCGAAATGCCTTCATTTCCGTAATTTCCTTCACAGTAGGAAGTTGCGCTCTCGCCGTGACTCCCTTCACGCTGTCTACATCTTCCCTCTCATTACCGTGTCTCCCCTCCTGCAGTTGCGACTCCGCACGACGCGCACAGTACTCCATTACTTCCTCCACCGTCGGCAGCTTGCTGGAGAGTCGAGGGAGCTCCACACACTTCTCCTCCCCTTCCACACGCAATGCAATAAAAAAAAGCTTTTCCTTCCACTGAAGTGGGGCCACTTTCGTCGTGGTCGAAGTGGAGGCGGCGTCGGTGCCATGCGTGTGGCGATCCACCACCTCCAACAGGCGTGACCAGCGGTGCTGCGAGGGGTCATCTCTGCTCGTACGGTAACGCACAAAAAACTGCAGCGAAAACTCGTTGATGCATCGCCTAAAGTACGGCGTGTCCCCGTATTCGTGGACAAACGGCGACTTGAGTGTAATC